TGGCTCAGTGGTAGAGCCCCTGCCTAGAATCCCCCAGTGAGGGGCTGTGGCTTGGCTCAGTGGTAGAGCCCCTGCCTAGAATCCCCCAGTGAGGGGCTGGGGCGTGGCTCAGTGGGGCGTGGCTCAGTGGTAGAGTCCCTGCCTAGCATGTGACATGCCCTCAGTTCCATCTCCAACACTCTACAAAAGAAAAAAAAGACAGAAGAAAAAAAAAGACAGAAGAAAAAAAGAAGGTAGAGTCTGTGAAACAGTAGAGACAGAGATAGAGAGAGGTGGCCACCAACCAAGGGATGCCAGGAAACTCCAGATGTTGAGGGAGTGAAAGGGCTCTCCCTTGGAGGCCAAATGGACATGTTTCTATCACTGAAGCTGTCCTGTGAGGGGCGACTGTTCCCTTCTGTCTGCACTGTATGGTCACTGCGTCAGGCACAAAGGACCCTCAGGACTCAGCTCCATTCACAGAAGCCACCCGAGGCATGGAGCCAGGCAGTATGGCTCCCTGCTCTTTTTCCTGTCCACAAGATAGACCTAAGGGTTCTGGAGCACCAGTCTAGTGTGGGCCGCCTGCAGCCACCGATGTCTGTAAGACCATCGTGCCCTGCACTCTTGTCTCTCTCCTGTCCCCTAATTCCACTTCCCAGATAAGGAGATGGGGGCCTCACAGAGAGACAGACTTCTCCATGTCGTGGGGGGCAGGTCACAGCTACACTCCACATCTCTCCCACCTACCTGCTTGGAGCCTGGGTACCAGTGCCTGTCAGCCCTGGCAGAGCCTTCCTAAGAACACTTAGTGCTTGTTCCCGGCTGCTTTCGTGGGCGGGGATATCCACAACAGCAGAGACTTTGCTGGCAGAGGTATTCACCACAGCAGGAACCCTACCTGTGGGGGCATTCACCACAGTGGGCACCCTGCCATCTGTGGCACTCACTACAGGGGAGACCTTGCCAGTGGGGGCATTCACCACCATGGTGACCCTGCCATTAGTGGAATTCACCACAGTGGACACTCTGCTGGTAGGGGTAGTCACCACAGTGGTGACTTTGCTGGTAGGGCCAGTCATCACAGTGGTGACTTTGCTGGTAGGGGCAGTCACCACAGTGGACATTCTGCTGGTAGGGGCAGTCACCACAGTGGTGACTTTGCTGGTAGGGGCAGTCATCACAGTGGTGACTTTGCTGGTAGGGGCAGTCACCGCAGTGGACATTCTGCTGGTAGAGGCAGTCACCACAGTGGTGACTTTGCTGGTAGAGCCATTCACCACAGTGGGGACCCTGCTGGTAGGAGCAGTCACTACAGTGGATACTCTGCTGGTAGGGGCAGTCACCACAGTGGTGACTTTGCTGGTGAAGCCATTCACCACAGTGGGGACCCTGCTGGCGGTACTGCTGCTGGCTGGGGCTGGGGCCGGGGAAGGGTTCTGGAAAAATTTCTCTCGGGCCTGTTGTGTCCTAGAGGCTGAGGAGGTCCAGGCCGGGGTGACTGCTGTGCTTGAAGAGTCTGTGGTCAAGTTGAGCTGAGTCTTCACACCTTTTGAGACTGCCTGGCCTTGGGGCACAGATAGGTGAGTGTCCAGAGCACTTGGGGATACAACGGGACGGGAGCTGAAACTCGCTGTGCTGCTCCAGGCAGGTGATGACCATCCTGTTGGGGAGTTGTTAGTCACATGGGTGATAGCTTTGCTGTTCACAGAAGTAGTGGCCACTGCGCTCGTGGGTAACCTGGGCCCTGTAGGGCTCCCCACATGGACGCGGGAGGTAGCTGACGGCTTAAGTTCTGTCTGGACGAAACCTTTGGCCGTTGCGTTGCCTGCAGCACGTTCCCAGGCCGCTGTCCTGGCCCTCAGTGGTGTCACCTCTCCATTTGCCTCCTGAACCTTCTGTGAGACACTGACTGGCCTGGTGTCTGCAGTGGCAACCCCTGGCTTCCTGGGGGCCAGGTTTGACAACTTGGGGCTCACGGAGGTGACTTCTGAGCTGTGGTGGCTACAGACGAAGACACCGGGCTCTCCTGTGGCACGGTAGGCCCCTGAGTGCAGTGTGTTGGAACACTGTTTACACCTGCGGGAGGAAGCCACGGAGATTCAGAGCCCAAGCTTTTGCTCAGTCCCTCATTCACCCACTCATTCATTCCGCTCTGCCAAAGTCACACACAGCCCTACTCCTTCACCCACTCCCACGGTGGCTGACTCATCCAGCAAACACTCCTTAGTGATTGTAATCATTGTGGTTTCCAGCCTCCGCTGGTACTGTCAGGGGGATGGGCACACCACAGAGAGAGCTCAAACATGCCACCACCTGCATGCACACGTAAAGGCCACACAGTGTACCCCCACTTTCAGGAGTCTAACTACCACCAAGCTCCTAGGAGATGAACATAGGTGTCACTCCTTGTCCCCCATATCTAGAAGATTCTCGGAGACAGGAAGGAGATTATTAAGGATCACAAAGTTAAAAAAAAAAATCCCAACCCAAAGGACTGAGAAGACAACAGAGATTGAGTCAGGGTGTCTAGAGGGACATCCCTGAGGGGACGTTAGGAGAGGATATTAAGGTTCAACTGTACTGTCACCAGTAGAAGACAGATGGGAAGACCATAGGAGCCAGGGAAGGCGTGTGATCAGGAAAGGTACACCCCATGCAGTGGAAACCCATACCTGAAGCAGCTCCGGTGGTAGAGGCGCCCGTCAGCCAGGTGCCGCTGCACAAGGTGGACGTGTTTGCCACAGACCCCACAGATGCTGCTGACAGAGCTTCCCGCAGTCCCCAGAGCCTGCAGGGAGGTGTCAGGGGCCACTGAGAGGTAGCTGGCATCTCAGCCTCCCCCTTCAGCCCAGAGGTGACGAATAGATCCCACTTTACAGGCTGAGACGTGAGACCCTGAAGAGCCACTAGCCAGGGCATGGGCATGGCTACACACCCAGGATCTCCAAACTGCCCTTGTTGGAGAACGGGAGACTGGATTTCAGAGATGCTGGAGACCCACTGTGAGGCTACAGACCAACCTTGTACCTTGTGACATCCCACCAGCCTCTGGGATCAACCCAGATTCCCTCTGCATCCCAGCCTGCCCTGCTCTGGCTTCATAGAACCCGTAGTAACCACTAACAGACAGCAGGGGGCACTCAAGCTCAGCACTGCACGGCTAACCAGGGAAGAAAGGTCCAACCTAGTGTCCCCTCCCAACCAGGAAAGAGGACAACAATCTAAATCAGCCAGGAGAGGTCTAGGGTTCCAGCTCCGTTCCACCTGGATGACCTCCTGTGCCTCATTTTACCCATCTGTATTATGGGAATCACAACTCTTGTCACGCAGAACTTGAGCATAAGAAAGCTACCTCAGTGGGTGTGCTGGATACAAAGCATGGGAAGGGGTCTCCTAAGGAAAAATCCCACACTGCCATACATTTTGGGATATACATAGCCCTACAATGCCCACTCAATCAAGACATGCTTACAGCCTTTGGGGAGGGTCTCTCTGAGCCACCTTCATTCCTCTGAACCACAGGGTTTGTCCTAGCTGGGGACAGTGGTGACCTCTGGATTGGAGCAGGCGAGGGCAACTTGGCAGGCTGGGACAGATCCTTCTTCTTTCCAGAAAGTTCTTCAGTCGAGTCTGATGAGGGTCTCTTTATGCCAGCCATGCCCCCAACTGGCATGAGACACAGGAAACAGGGGTCAGGCGGGTCCCACTCAGAGCTTGTACCCTCTAAGAGGTCCCTGTGCTCACAGTGAAAGGCACGGGTTTCAGAGGACAGCTGGCGGGGTACGGAGCTGGGGAAGGGTGACTCCAGGGCACATTCTTCCCAGAAAACCGTGGCCTGGCCCTCACCCCGTCTCCTAGCAGACAACCCCTTCTAGGGTCATGGAAGGGGACTTTTCTGTCTCCAAACCATTCGGGGCTGGCCCTCGGCCCAGGGGGATTCCGGAGATTTCTAAAGCTGTAAGAGGAATGTTGTGCAGGAAGCCAAGAAGTTCCCACTCGCAGGACCGGGTGAAGACCCAGGTTGCCTGCCCCGCCCTGGCCTTCCCTGCCTGGGCCACACAGCTTCCGTTCATTGCCCAGGTCTACCAGGCATTGCACAGCCTCAGCCGGCTAAGCCCTTGGGAGTCGACACGGGCATCTAGGAGCACAGGGGTGGACACAAGCCTGGCTGAGTGTTCCCTGGCAGGTCTGGGGAATAAGGGAGCCAAGGGGTCTCACTCTACACTTGCACAAAGGCCCTTGGTCTCCTTGATAACAGACACATCTCTCGGGACCCACATGTGTAGTCTCAGGAAGGTACCTCCCTGCATCACTGCCCACCCCAGGCTCAGTGCTGGGCATGAGGACTGAGGACAGGCAAGGGGTACTGCAGCATGGGCTGGTGGCCCTGACAGTGTCAGGGGTCTGAGTCACGTCCCTTGGCAAGGGAGGGTCCGTCTGGATGGGGACTCACTTGGGGACCGGCCGTGGAAGTAGTTGTAATACTGTGAGACGTAGGTGAGGATGCTCAGCCGGTCTGGAACCTTCAAGGCCACCATGTCCTCAGCATCTAGCAGGGCTGGGATGCCCAGCTGCTCCTCAGCCACTTGGAAGGCCTGGATAGGGGTGCAAATCAGTGGATAATATAGAAAGAACTACTCCTGGGCCATCAGCACCCCCCTAAAAGAGGGGGCAATGCAGCCTGGACTTCAAGAGCCCCTGCCTAGAATCCCCCAGTGAGGGGCTGGGGTGTGGCTCA